ATTTATATACATATTATACTTTATTATATTTATTATATTTATATACATTTTCCAATTCTATAAAATTAAATTTTTTACAGTGTTCTAAAGATGCTCATTAACATAAGCGTTAAATTTGATCATCAATTTAATTTATGATATTATTATTCCAATTTCAATGCAAGACTACGTTTAAAGATTGACACACTAATCAGCGCATTTCGCACAGAATTGGAAAATGTCATAAAATTTATAGAAATATATTATTAGATAATAAACTAAACAAATAACTAAAATCCAGTTCGGATTGTATAAAGTACTTTTCTATTTATTTGTATTAATTCATATTATTATTTTTTTTTATTGTTTTAAATACGCCAATTTACAAAAAAGCTGCCGTAAAATGTAAGCGGAAAGCGCTGAATCTACGTGACATTTACGAATGTAGGAATCGTATCGATTATCGCGCGTTTATATAAACTATAAACAGTAGACATTTCATGCACACACGTAAAAGACGCATCGTAAAAAGTGCATTCAACTCACCCGTGACTTTGGCAACGTGAATCTTCGATACGTTGCCTGCGCTAACAGCGCTATTGACCCTGTTGTTGTTATTATTATTGCTGCCATTAATACTGTTATTATTGTTGCTTTGAGATACGACAGACGTGTCATCATGAATTTGATTCAAATTACCCACACTCATCGTGGAAGTGACACAAGGCGGCATCATCGGCACATCCTGCAAGATCGAAAAAACGATCGCGTCAATTTTGACAAATGTTTAGCATCGATGTTAGAATTCTTACCACTTTAAGAAAAGACTGAGTTATATATTTTTGAATAATACAACACAGTCGAGAAAAATAATAATGCGATATTTAAAATTATTAAAATTATTATATATGTATGAGATTCTTTAAATCGATTAGCAAAGCATATATTGTGACTCTTCCTTTTTCTTAAATTTAGAATTAGAATTATTAGTGTAGTGGTTTAAATATAATAAAATTTAGTTACAGAAATACCATTCTTTCAAATTTGCATCGCAGTTAAACAGATGTTAACAGATAAAAATTAAATTAAAGAACTTTCTTACTAACCGCTTAACTTTTAGATATAAAAGAGTCATTTCCTGCCTCCATAAGTGCTATATTGTACGGAACAAATGTTTAGCATCGATGTTAGAATGTAAATTTATGATGATTTGCGCACAACGAGCATATTTAGATAATTAATATCGGTTACAATTAAGATTCTAATTATGCTAATGTGAAATGTTATGGTTGTGAAATTCAGGAATTTTTAAGCACGTTTTTCTTAGACTTCTTCCTAGATGCTTCCTAGATGTTTTATAACAGATTATTTCAAGTGATATAAAAAGCAATAGATATCTGAGAGCCTTATTTATATTGACTATTTTTCTTTGGATTCGTTAAGTAATTAACAACGATTTATGAACTATAATCTTTTGTGTATCTTTCCTCTAGATATTACCGTATGAGATTAGCTGCAGAATTATAATATTATTGATAGCTTCATATAGAGATTATTTTATATTTATACTTTATGTTATATTAAAACATCTAGTAAAACTATGTACAAATATTTTATTTCAGATTCAATTCTTTTAAAATTTAATTAAAAGTCATACCCTCTTACCATCTTTGTATTTTTGATATTACTTAATGTTCATAAACTTTAAAAGATTAAACGAATACTATGTTAAAATAAAATCCATTACTCGCGCTTATAATTTTAAAATCTATTGATGCTCTGAAATTTTTGTTAAATTAAAAATCTATAACCAATTGCTTTCAGAATAAAAAATAGCGATAATTTTATGATATCTTATTTCTTATTTCTCATTTATGCAAGAATACCCGTATATGAATCCGCTACTTTAAAAGAGCGAAAGTTATCGAATCGATAATTAATACTAGTAATGATGTTGCACTGGCAGCACGCGAAGCTTACTTGCAATAACACATGTGAAACAGAAAACACGTGAAGTCTCACCTTGTAATTATCATAAAGGCTCACCGGCCGGCTCCTCGGTGCATACTGAATCTCTTCGTCAGTCTGCATCGTGCGTATGCTGTGTGACAATATTCCTAAGGGATGCGCGCGCAACTCGTAGGACGTCCTCCGTAGGTCACTCTCCCTTCTTCCTCCACTTCCGGCGGATCTGCAAAAGGTGAGTGTGATGGCATGACACTTAATGAGACCATGGTTAAGAGTAGTAAATTAGCGCAGTAATGCGCAGGTGCATGATAATCTCATGTGCATACAAGAATAGTAAATTGAATTGTAAATAATAATTTTTCGCACTAAATAGAAAATGAATACTAACTCGCCATAGCATGAAAATATTATGTTACTTGAACTTTTTCTGTTATTAATTTATTTTCTTATTGATTATATTAAATACGACTCTTTATTTAGTTTTTAATATTACATTTTTGTGTTTTTTTAATTCTTTTGAATTAAAGAAGACTCTGAGTGAGTACGGAACGCTTTTTATTTTATTATAAATAACTATTCTATGACTTTTAAGGCATAAATTATCGTTGAATTTATTGTAACATTATTTTTGTCATGCTCGTTTTTTGGCCATCTTATTATTATGTATTGATTAATTATCTTTTTAGTATAAAATTTTTAATAATATTTATAATAATTATTATTATGATTATTGATTCTTATCTAATATTTAATATTAATTTATCTAATTTCGTGATTTAAACGACGGAAATAACTTTTGAAATTACAAAACGTTTATTTATTATTGTATTATACTCATTTATCTATTATTAATTTATATTCGAATGTTTTTGTCAATCAAAAGAATGATTCGTGATAAATAATGTTTCCTTGTACCCATATAAATTTTTTGCTTCTCTTCCACAGAAGCATATTTGAATTCAATATACTCTTCACATCGGATGTGCGTTGATGACTCACAAATTGTCAAGCAATTTTGGAAGGGAACTTTCTCTTAATCCGATCCGACACGACATAAGTCACGCTCTGGCATTGCGAGGGATGTGCTTGTGCATAAAACAGAGATGATAAGGCATCTAAGATGAAATAGAAGGTCTACAATTTTCTTGATGTTCGTGTCCACGTGCCTGATCACGTGCGTCGCGCATCCGTCACTCCATAAATGTCCGCAAAATTGAAAAAGATTGTCTGCGTAAAAGTAGCTTTGATCATTTATTTGGACAGATCGTTTATCTGAAGAATAACTGAACTTTACTCTGAAAATATTTGCTTTCATACGCGTTAAAATAAATAATTCTAGACAAGATAAATCTAGATAAATGAATAATAAAATTTGCTTTCAAGGCAATCAAGTTACATAATTCTATATACCAAGTAAATTTAATTTTTAATATTAATTTATGGAATGTATAATTGTTATTTAATAAAAATAAACATGAGTTATCTTACATTTCGTTATTATATTTAGTAATAAATACAATAAATTAATAAAATAGTTCATATTTTCAAAGCTCTCGTGAATGAGAAAACATGACTCATACAATTTCTTTTTCCCTATTCAATTACCAGAGTAATTACTATCTTCCGATGACATAAAAACACAATAGTAGCATAACAAGTATAAAATAAAATGAGGAAAAATTCACGAGAATCAAACATCAGTTTATAAATAAGTCTCCCAGGCGTTACTCGATGGCGCAGATTCTCGATTTTACGGAGGTCACTTTACCTTCCCGAGTTATCCTGCTATTCGCAAAAAAGAAACAATATTTCTTCTGAGAACTCTGACACATTATGTTAAGACGCGGTCTCGGCGTTATGGCTTTCTCGGTCTTACAAGACCTTTAAGTGCTGATGAAATTTTGATTCCAACTTGGTGGAATCACATGAATTCCCAAGCCATTAACGAGAATAACACTTCATATCCGCTTAATGTGTTCCTGAAGTGTACTGCTTAAATCTGTCTTTCGAAAAATTATATCGAAAATGTAAAAATTCGTAAGAGTATTCTCAAGTTTTTTGACAAGTAAAAAATGACAAACAAAAATTATTTTAGAGATTGCTTTATGTTTATTTTTTGAAATTTGAAGCTTCAAATAATACTTAATATTTTTTATTTATCTAATTAAGCACTGTACTAAAAAAAAAGATCTTAATTATGAATTATACGAATGAAGCATATTTCAACAAGTAAGAATGTAAAAAGTGAACATGTTAACATAATAAAATAATCTTTTTTCTTGAAAATGTTAAATGTATAAATAGTAAACATAAATTTGATACATATTAATTTGAATTTTCATAATTTATTTTTATCCAGCATAAAGTCTTACTTTTGACTTAAAATCTTTTATTTGATTTCTTATAGAATCATGAAAAATAAAAAATTTCTTTTTGTACCAAATCCTTTCATGAATCTTGCATTTCTATAAATAACGGGAAACTTCTAACATTTTTCGCAGCGTCGATGAGCAAATAAAAATATAAAGATATGAGGCACTTAAATATCCCATAAAAAACTTTTTTGTATTCGAATGTGCGACAACGCAGCAATTCGTCGACACTTGATTACGTTCGCGGCTGTGTCTGTTCTAAGTCCACTCAGTACGTTTTCTTGCAATTATATACGAAGCGTAGCCTTTGAGGAAGTAGCAAAAGTAATGCTCAATGAAAGTATTCAGGTTTCATTTCCGCAAGAAGTAATTTCAATATAAAAATGACCAGTAATCATTGAAAGTTTAGTATTCTGACGTTATGCATCTTTGTTATGTAATTAGAGAAAAAAGGTAATTACTTTCTGTATTAAATTAATTATCTTTACCGTTGAAAATTTGTACGAAGATGTATATAAATATAGGTAAGCGGAGTAATTCGACGCATCGCGCGCGCCAGTACGTTTTTTGATGCTCGGTACTTGTCGAGTCAGCCGAAGTTTACGGTGCAAGACTAATTTATTTAAGTTCTTTGCACGTATTACTTTATGCTTATGATCAGAGAAAAATCATATAAAACGAATACAATTTAAGATTGTAGATTTAAAAAATATATAAAAATTGAGTATATTAATTAATTATTACTTATCTATTTATCATTTACTATCACTGTAAAAAATCATTGATACATTTAATTATATTATGAATTATAACATTTGATAAAAATGATCAACATATTTTTTAAGAAAAAAGCTTAAAGCACGTTGTAAAACACGTTAATTATAAGGAAAATAATAAAAAGAAAAAATTAGATTGAAGAACAAAAGGCCAGTGTGAACATCGCCTAAGGGAGCTTAATAGAGAAATGACTTATTTCCAGCCATATAATCCGAACACAGATATAAGTTAGTTGTAGATAGGTCATATTATTGCGCTGGTACCTATAGAATCTCTCAAGTTACTAGTGATTATCATCGGCATTTCCATTATCAATCTATTGCTGTGAGGATTCTATTGACGATATGAAAAATTGATGACAGTACAGTTATTAATAGTGATCGTGCAAAGGCTCAGTACCTCCGCGGCTTTATTGCCTTGCGTATATTGCGCATTGATTGCGTATTAACTTGGGATTTTATGCTGTGAAAATAAAACCCTGTGCTCTCGAGCTTCAAGTACGACCACGACGTCGCGCTCCGATGATCAAAAAAAAGAAAGAAAAAATCTTGATCACGTAATCACCTGCTATCGAGTGTCACTTGCTATTGTCTGCTGTATGTAAAGATGTGTATAAAAATATAACCATTATAATGACATATCTGAAAAATCGTGTTAAAAACGATGTAAATAGTAATTATGTGATTAAATGACAATACAAGTCTTTACAAGAGAACAATTTGAAATTAAAATAAAGATATCTAAAAACAAAGTATACATAGTTCAATTTTTTACTAGCTCAATATAATTTTTAAGTATTTACATTAATATGTTAATTCTATTCATATTTCCATTAGTTATAAAACAAAAGTGTCTTTTATTATTTCATAAAATTATCTTTTATTGTGTTCTTATTGTATTACATAGTCATATAAATTAATCACTTTTTGGCGCTTCAGACTTTAAAAGTATTCAATGTCTTACGAGTTCTATATATAAAATAGATATGTATGTAGACTTCTGACATAATGATACAGTGATAGCATGCGATTGCTGCAAACGCGATAGTTTGTCTGATTCGCAAGAAAAACAATTAAGCTAGATCAGACAATCTAGCAAAAAGGGCTCTTCAAGGGTTCTTCTGCGTGAGAATAATAATTGTCACGAATACGACAATCATTAAGGCGATAAAGTTTATGTCAATTTTTTATTCTGAAGAACAATATTCTTCATATACATTCGTATGTATTCTAAAAACGTATAATAGAACTATTATATTTCGAATGTAATTTATTATTATATGATATATTATCTTATGAAATTTGCTCGTCATTAATCTTGTTTTCGAAAACAGAAAACCAAAATAATTACATTCATCAGTACAAACTGATGTTTATGTACACATATAATATGTGTTTATTTGAAAAAATAATATATATGTTTTTTCATTTTTCAAAAATAAGAAATAAATATTTAACATAAATTTTTGCAATTTGTAATACATTTTTATAATTTTATAAAAAGAAGAATCAATTTTTATGCAAAAATAAAAAATTAGCATATTTAATTCAGACTTATTTAAAGATATTTTTATTTATTTGTACTTTTCTTCATCTTTTCTTCTTGTTATTTTATCTAATAAATGACTAAAATATTTCCTTTTATTATTTTTTTTATAATTAGACAAGACGTCAGTAAATTACAGGAAGTATGTGACCTTGAAATCATCCGCCTTGAGTATTACTTATAATTTACATTTATATGCAAATATTCATAACTCACATTAATACGATATTGTGTTTGTCGAAGTATTTTGTGTTAATAACAAGCAGTGTCCAGAAACATTCCATTGTAATAAAATTGATTAGAAGCTATTTTAAATATTAAATTAATTTTATTGTATCCGACAGGATTAAATTAGCAAGACAAAATCGAAATAATAAGTTCAAATTTGTCCATATTGCAATTTTTTATGTTTCTCTTCATATTTTGACGAAAAAATTAAATAGCTTTTATAAAAATTTTTTAAATAAAAATTAAATAGCTATTATAAATATAACTCACGATCAAAAAATTAAATTAAGACAATGTCTCTCATGTTTCGTGCTTTTCATTTATTTAAAAAAAATTATTTCATTACATTAGAAATTGAAAAATATATAAATGTTTTTTATATAAAAATGTTATGTATAATAACTTAATGCTTAGCAAAGTGGAGTAAACTTAGCAAATCCTGTTAGCAACATTTTCAAAGAGAAACTACGTACATTGCTCGAGTCTACGTTAATGCACAAAATTGTTAACAATTATAATTGTAATTATCGAACACGAGAAAATAACAATCACATTCTATCACGCTCGATTTTCATTCATTAAGCAACCGTGCGTCTGGAGTTCATCATCATTTATATAATTAACGTGTGAACAAGCCAGTTAATAATTTATAATTCAAATGTAAAACGACTGCGTCTAGTAATTCAAATAGCGCATAACTTTCCTACCTCTACAAAACTCATAAATCTAGATCAAATAATGCTTTTTAAGATATATTTTGTTTTTCATATATGCTGCACAATATTGGAATTCTATATATATTATTTATAAATTGTTTATACGATATGTAATTTCTTTTTTTAACATAGACATTTTATTTATTCTATTTAAAAAAATAATGTGTGTGTTATATTAAGAAATTAAAATAAATTTTTTTAAATTGTAATGATTGATTTTCATTGTTTGATATTGAAATATGTATATACATATATATATATATATACATATATATATGTACA